GATGCCCGGATTGTTTGGAAAAGGCATTGTTTGTTTTGGGAAGTTTGGTAATATCAGTTTGGTAATGTGTAATGCTATTTATTAGGAAAAAAAGTCAGCCTTCCCTTTTGTTTTTGTTTTTAAATGAATGCTCCTATTAGAAAATACATAAGGATGTGGGTGAAGTACAGTTTCCAAAAATTGTGGGCAATCACCCCCAAATCCTGTCAGTATTTAAAGTTGGCCATGTTGGGCCTGCGTGCCAAGATTTGTTGTCACCTAGGTTCAGTGCTGTTTGGATGCAGGGTGAACTATAAGTCCTGGGTCCCAAGGTCAGCCTCCCCCCCCCCCCCAAAAAAAAAACCTCCAATATGTTCTGTTGGTCACCAGGGTTCTGTGTAACAAGTTTGGCCCAGATCCGTCATTGATGGGGTTCACAATGCTCTCTGGATGCAGGGGGAACTATAACTCCCACACAGGTGGGTCAGTCCACCCCAAACGTCTCCAGTGTGTTCAGTTGGTCAACAGGGTTCTGTGTGTCATGTGTTGTCTGGGTCTTTCATTTGTGGGGTTCACAATGCTCTCTGGATGTGGGKTGAACTACAACTCCCATGTAGGTTCRTCAGTCCCCCCRCCCCAATGCCTCCAATGTGTTCAGTTGGTCACCAGGGTTCTGTGTGTCAAGTGTGGTCCAGGTGGGTAGTTTGTGGGGTTCACAATGCTTTCTGGATGCAGGGTGAACTACAACTCCAATGCAGGTTGGTCAATCTCCATCCCCCCCCCCCCCAGTGTGTTTAGTTGGTCACCATGGCTCTATGTGTCAAGTGTGGTCCAGATCCGTAGTTTTTGGGGTTCACAATACTCTCTGGATGTGGGGTGAACTACAACTCCCATGCACTTTTTGATTGCAGGTGAATTATAAACCTATATATATATATACATATACATATACATATATATTCTTTGTATGAAAAGAGATGCAGTGTTAATGTAAAAACATGGAATCAGAACCCACTGATCAGGAATCGCACTCACCTCCAATAAAGTTCCATATTCGGATGTCAGAGCTATTCCAGGATAAAAGCCTTGACTTAAAAATACCCATAAATAATCTTAAGACTGGTGGAAAGTTGGCCAATATGTTCTTGGCATGTGGGATATAGGCCAACAAGAGGAGACGTTTGTAAGAGCTTTCAGCTTCCAGCAACTGTTGATATATCATTTAAGAAAGGATCACCAAGTGAGTTCTTTGAGCCAAAAACTGCCCCAACAAATGGCAGGATATTTGCAGCAGTAGAAAGAGTTAATTTGTGATGTTTACAGAACACAAATATTACTTCTTATATTTAGCCCATGTTGAATATTCAGAAATCCAAAATACTGCAACACCCAAAATTATCGAAATGGGTTGCTGAGATTGTGACATCTTTACTTTTGGATGTCTCCACGTAAACAGACTTTTGTTTCATCCATACATGCTCAAAATGTTGTTTAGTATTACCATCAAGGTATATTTAATAAGGTGTATTTGAAACTATAACTCCCAGGATTCCACAACAGTGGCCCATGGCAGCTAAAGAGGGTTTTTTGTCGTGTCAGGAGCGACTTGAGAAACTGCAAGTCGCTTCTGGTGAGAGAGAATTGGCCGTCTGCAAGGATGTTGCCCAGGGGATGCCTGGATGAATTGATGTTTTTATCATCCTTGTGGGAGGCTTCTCACATGTCCCCACATGAGGAGCTGGAGCTGATAGAGGGAGCTCATCCGTCTCTCCCCGGATTTGAACCTGCGACCTGTCTAAAGAGATGACGAACAGCATTACTTTTAGTGTTGATGCATTCTTGATCATCCATTTGCGAGTGTTTGTCACTCACTCTGCACTTCTGAGTGTAGCTTCAAAAGTTTATTTCATGCACTACAACTCCCAGAAGCCCTTGTCTGGAGAAGGAAAGAAACAAGCTGATTATGTGGTGGAGGCTCCTTCTTTGAAGGCTTTCAAACAGAGGCTGGATGGCCATCTGTTGGGGGTGCTTTAAATGCAATTTTCCTGCTTCTTGGCAGGGGGTTGGACTAGATGACTCATGTGGTCTCTTCCATCTCTATGATTCTATGTTTTAGTGGATTTGCTTGGTTGCTTCCATAGGTGTCATTAAATGCTTTGTGCAGTACTTTTCATAGGAAAAAAATTAATGACAACAACACATCCTACTATAAATAGCTTTATTAAGAATATTAATATAGTTTTTTTATCTAATCATATTTATATCAAACATTATATTAATATAAAACCAAAGTGTACATCACAAAGTCACTAGGACAGGAACAAATGCCCTAAGGGAGAGGCTATACAAGCCAGCGTCAAGGAAACAGAGAGAGCAGCTACCCTGTTGAGTCAATGATACCATTTTAACTGCCGTGGCTCAATGCTATCGAATTTGGGGAGTTGTAGTTTGGAGAGGTAAAACTATGACTTCCAGGGTTCCACAGCATTGAGCCATGGCAGTTTAAGTAGTCTCAAACTACATTCATTTGGTGATGTAGATGCACCCAGAGGGTGGATCAAAGGTGGATAGGCTAAGAGACCTCCCAACCTGTACTAAAACGTAGTGGCAGTGCAGAGGTTTGCAAAGGTCTGAGCTGGTACTGAAAGATATGTAAAGATTTCTTACATTCTTTTCAAGAGATTAGGCAATTCTGTAAAATCATTCAGTCCTGATGGGTGAGACTGCATATGGAAGTGTGTGTTCTATAGCCTAGGGTTCAATGCAATCACAGGAGTTGTAGTTTTCCAAGGTCTTTAGTCTTCTCTGTCAAAGTGTGCTGGTGTCTCACCAAACTGCAACTCTCAGGATGCTTCTGGAACATGGTCATACAGATCGGAAAACTCACAATAACGCAGTGATTCAGTCCATGAAAGCATTTGACAACACATTAGATAGGAGTGCTTTGAGTTTCGAACCAGGATTTTAGGAGACTAGTGCTCGAGTCCCCACTCAGATATGGGAAACATATTGGGTGATCTTGGGCAAGTCACTCTCTCTCAGCCTTGGAGAAAGGCAATGGCAAGCCCTCTCTGTGGGTGTATTTACACTGTAGAATGAATGCAGTTTGGCCCCACTTTAACTATAGTTCAATATTACAGATTCTTGGGAGTTGTAGTTTTACAAGGAGATTCCATCTGAACATGAGGAAGAACTTCCTGACTGTGAGAGCCGTTCAGCAGTGGAACTCTCTGCCCTGGAATGTGGTGGAGGCTCCTTCTTTGGAAGCTTTTAAACAGAGGCTGGATGGCCATCTGTTGGGGGTGATTTGAATGCAATATTCCTGCTTCTTGGCAGGGGGTTGGACTGGATGGCCCATGAGGTCTCTTCCGACTCTTTGATTCTATGATTCTAAGTCTTAGCCTTCTCTGACAAAGGGTCCTGGTCTCTCACAAAACTTCAATTCCCAAAGATTCCAGCTATGGCTATTAAAGGCTATTATTATTGGCTATTACTTGAGCTATGGCAGTTCAAGTGGTGCCAAACTGCATTAATTCTACAGTAAAGATGGGTTTTAAATTGAGTGAACATAACACCTCTTAACCTATTGCTCTTTTAGACTAACGTCCCACTCAACTTGCCGATTTTGTGTCTTTTGCCAAGGGCGATGGACAAAAAAGCATAACCCTTGTTGCCTTTTTGAGTCTACTGCCCAAGTTCTCAATGGCACAGAGACTAAATTGGAAAGACGACCAGCCACCCGATGTCTGCTCCCAATCCGCAAATCCACTCTATACAAAACCTATTCAGCTGTCTTCAAATCAAGGCACCATTTCATGCCATTCAAGCATAAGATGGAGGAGGACTCTCCCTTCCTTCAGGAAGCTAGGCTCTGTTTGAATAGTTCTGACTGACTGCAACCAGACACCTTGGCACCCTTGTTCCGTACTTCATCAGTCAAAGGAATGCCATTTCCAATGCTGGCATGCCCTCAAGAATGGAGCGGCTCTTCCCTTCCCACATTGAGATGCCAATCTACCTTTCATAAAGCAGCTGCTCTTTCCAAAACAGCTGACCTCCCTCATCTTTCCAATCCCACAACTGGAAGGTTTCCAAGAGTTGTCTATAAAGTCTGGTCCGTCTGAGTCAAAGGATAGAACTTCTCCATTTTGCACAGAGGAACAGAGCGGACTGGCAAGACACATCATCCACTGCATATGAGGGCAAGAAATAGAAGGAAGAGGGTAATCCGTGCGACACACACTGGATACCTTTCAGTGGCATGGCCAGGGTTCAACCTTAAGAGCCAAGGGGTTGCTGTTGCTCTCCACTCTGAAGCAGTTGCTTCAAGAAATCTAATGGTATAAATCAGTGTTTCTCAACCTTCCTAATGCTATGACTCCTTAAAACACTTCCTTATGTTGTGGTGACCCCCAACCATAAAATTATTTGCGTTGCTACTTCATAAATGTAATTTTGCTACTGTTATGAATTGTAATGTAAATATCCGATATGTAGGATGTATTTTCATTCACTGAACCAAATTTGGCACAAACACTTGATACTTCCAAATTTGAATACTGGTGGGGTTGCGGGGGATTGATTTTGTCATTTGGGAGTTGTAGTTGCTGGGATTTATAGTTACCCTACAATCAAAGAGCATCCTGAACTTCACCAACAATGGAATAGAACCAAACTTGGCACATAGAACTCCCATGACCAACAGAAAATACTGGAAAGGTTTGATGGGCATTGACCCACATGCCTTGAAGGGACTCGCTGGTGTGAGCCTCTATCCAGCCTCACTTGCTCTCCCTTGCTCGCACATGTGCACCATGCTGCCATGTGCCGAGCATGCTTGCTCTCCCCTCCCCTTTGCTCAGAGGCCAGCCAATCACTGTGGAGGAGGGTTTTTGGTGGGAGGATTCACCCTCGGTTTCCAAAAAGGAAGATAAGGACAGGAGGTGAGATCTTCAGCCTTCTCTGCCTTCTCTGTCCCAAAAAGTAACTTTTCTATGCTTTGCCATAGTGAGAACAGGTGCATGCCCAACTTCATTTGCTGCCAAAGGGCTTCCTAAGACTATCAGAAATATATGTTTTCTGGTGGTCTTTGACGGCCCCTCTGAAACCCCCTCGCAACCCTCCCAGGGGTCTAGACTCCCAGGTTGAGAAACACTGGTGTAAGTGATCCTGTGCCACTCTGTGAATAATTCCTCATTCCTCATTCAGTGGCACAGCCAGGAATTTAGGCAAAAGAACCAAGAGACTGCTTCAAGGCGCCTAATAGTATAACCGATCCTGTGCCACCCTTGAGAACGATTTTCCATTCATATTCAAAGGAAGATAAGAAGAAAAGATGGAAGGGACTGGCAAGACGGCGAGTTCAGTTTTGCACCGCTAATGGCACAGTGTCAAAACCATGTTTACCTCAAGGAAAGGGCCACCAGTGGGCACTTCCTTCTATTTTCTCCCACACAGACCTCTGCAAAATGAGAACCAACTCGAGCAAAAATCATGATGAAAGCCACCTGCCTCCACTGAAGGATCAAGGGCAGAGTAGAAAACTCAAGCAGGGTATTTGGCGGCCAGGAGGGCCATGTCCTTGTGGCAACGCTTGACCCAGTCCCGGTAGAGGTGGCAAATTAGGTAGCCGGTGAATTTCTTGATGAAGGTGTCCTCCATTCCTGGTGGCTCAGCTGGAGTAACCGGGCCAGGTAAGATGCCCAGGGAATCCATGACGGCTTTCAGGTTGTTTGCAAGACCGAGGCAATGTACGCTTGATGTTTCGAGAAGATCATGCAGTTCAGAGGCTTCTGGGTTCAGATCGACTTGCTGGAGCTTCACCGTGGTTAGGTACTCTGGCAAATTAGAGAAAGCCCCGAAGTTCTGCTGCAAGCGTTCGGGGTCACTAAGGTCCAGCCAAACTTTGGTTGAAAGAGTAGGCAATGGCAGCCCTGGAAAAGGCTGAGGAGAAGGGTTGAAATCCGGATCCCCAAAGGGCTCCTCTTGATGAAATGCCTACAAGGAAGCAAAGGAAACACAGGAGACAGTCAGAAGTGTTTGACCAATTTTTGACATTTAGACCCCACCCATCATCCAAGGAACTTGGGAGTGGGTGGTGTCGGTGTCTGAGGCAGTCGCATTTTTTCTCTGCGAGAGGCTTGTCAGATTGTTTTAAGTTTGTGTGAAATACGGTGACTGTTACAAGGTCAGGGTGGGTGGGGAACACAGGGCCTTCCAGATGTGCTTGGAACATTTACATCTTCCAGACTTCCAGGGGACTATATACATGTGTATACATGCCTTCAAATTGTGTGCCAACTTCTAGTAAACCCATGAATCTTGTATTCCTAGACATCTTCCAGACTTCCAGGGGACTATATACATGAGAATACATGCTTTCAAACTGTGTCAACTTCTGGAAAACCCATGAGTCTTGTAGGGCATTCCTAGATATCTTCCAGACTTCCAGGGGGCTATATGCGTGTGTATACATGCTTTCAAACTGTGTGTCAACTTCTGGTAAACCTGTTAGTCTTGTAGGGTATTCCTAAACAGGAGACCCCAGTGGCACAGACCTAATAAAACTACATGAGCCATGATAGTTGAAGTGATGTCAAACTGCATTAATTTTACAGTGTAGATGTATCCCTGGACCCCCTGGTGGCACAGCAGGTTTAACCGCTGAACTACTGAACTTGCTGACTGGAAGGTCGCAGGTCTGTATCCAGGGAGTGGGGTGAGCTCCCACTGTTAGCCCCAGCTTCTGTCAACCTAGCAGTTCGAAAACATGCAAATGTGAGTAGATAAATAGGTACCGCTCTGGCAGGAAGGTAACAGTGCTCCATGAACATGACCTTGGAGGTGTCTACGGACAATTCTGGCTCTTAGGCTTAGATATGGAGATGAGTAGAGTACCAATCTCCATTTGGGGAAAATGTTTACCTTACCTATTCCTAGACAAGAAATACTCAGAGATGGTTTGCTCTTGAAACATAGCATTCAGTTGTGTCAATGGACTTGAGCAGGCATGGGCAAACCTTGGCCCACTGGGTGTTTTGGACTTCAACTCCCACAATTCCTGGCCTCAGGCCCTTTCCTTTCTCCCCTCAGCCGCTTAAGCGGCTGAGGGGGGAAAGGAAGGGGCCTGAGGACAGGAATTGTGGGAGTTGAAGTCCAAAACACCTGGAGGGCCAAAGTTTGCTCATGCCTGGATTAAAGTTTGTGGCTATATCCCAATTATTTCAAAACTCTCTTTGTGATATATCCACCAACTCCAATCTTTTGACAGTGGGTTGAGCAGAGACAATGCTTTCATGGGACATTACACATACTATAACACAAGTTAACACCCCAGCCTCATGAGGGTTCTCTTGCTTGCTTTATCACAACTTTCTGGTTCCCAGCCAGCATCATACTATATTCCAAGAACTCCCTCCATCATTTATCAGGTTATCTACCATAATCATCTTGGTTATAGTCATGATCTTTTTCCTCACTCTTTTCCCCAGAACAACCATTGATGAGATAACACTGGTTATCTCATCACCATACCCCCAAGTTTTGTATTTTTATTGCCTGCTTACCCATGGCATAAGTGTCCCTAGGCATTTCACTCCATGCATCTGAAGGAGTAAACTCAGCATCTAAACTGTAGAATGAAAACAGTTTGAGACCACTTTAACTGCCATGGCTCAGTGCTACAGAATGAGGGGAATTGTAGACTAGGTAAAGCCTAGTCGTGTCTAACTCTGGGGGGTGGTGCTCATTTATATTTCTAAGATGAAAAGCCGGCATTATCCATAGACACCTCTAAGGTCATGTGGCCAGCATGACTGCATGGCATGCTGTTACTTTCCCACTGGAGTAGTACCTATTGATCTACTCACATTGGCATGTTTTCAAACTGCTAGGTTGTCAGAAGCTGGAGCTAACACTGGGAGCGCACCTCACTCCCCAGATTCAAACAGGCATCCTTTGGGTCATCAGCTTCAGCAGATCAGCAGTTTAACACGCTGTGCCACCAGGGAGTGAGCCAAATAGTACTAGTGCCCAAATTACAAATCCCTGGGTGCCATGGCACTGAGACATAACAGTTCAAGTGGTGTCAAACTGCATTCATTCTACAGTGTAGATGCACCCATAGAACCCACAGAACTCAACATAGACATTTATGGAGAGACAAATGACCATGTTTTTAAGAGCTTAGAAAGTGAAATGTGGATTAATTCAGGGCTCTATTAAACAACATTTTATTATGATTCAAAGATGCTTTTTCTCCATAGGTGTACAAGGTAAACAAGGTTAATAAGGTTAACAACAGCCGACTGATTAGACACATCGTTGGATGAACATTACAACAGTTAAAACTGCTTAGAACATGGGGTTAAAATTATTTGATATCATGTACATGATGGTGAAATTAGAATTTATTCAGGGCCCTATTGCTGCAAACACATGTAAACACAAACACACACCTCTGTTAAAGAATTCCGCACACTTTGAAGACTCACATAGTTTGACAGCAGCTGTTCAGAGCCCTCTTGCATGTAAAGTGTCATGTTGCGTGTTTTTTCTATTTTGTGGACTATTTCTTGGTGAGACCGAGAAGACGACGAAGAGAGGTTTTTGGGTACATCCACTGCAAACAAAAAAATGGGATAAAGGTTAAGATATATACAAACACCTGAATTTGCTAATAGCCTACACTAAGCCTCTGGGTTGTTTTTCATAGGTAAGGGGACTTTGTACAACTGCTGGAGGAGAAGAGTATGAGAAGAAGGGAAAGAGTAGAGAAAACACAACTAAACCCATCTTTGTGCCTAACTTTTACAGTAGCTTTGGTCTGTTTTACTCCACAAGTCCAACTTTTGTATGACTACTTACTGTAACCATTTTATTACATATTTATTTGGAGTTTCTAGTTAGACCCCAAAACATAATACTGTTATTTCCACTCCAAATGTCTCTCCACATTTGACTTTTGTAGATTTTATTATTCGTGGATTTAATTAAAATATCTTTTCTCTAGTTCCTGCAGTGTGAGTTTATAGCCAATGTTCTCTCATCATGATGGAGGACTTAGAGATTTTTTGAGAAAATGCGGTTCCTATGGTGGCACAGTGGGTTAAAGCACTGAGCTGCTGAGCTTGTTGATCGAAAGGTCGCAGGTTCAATTCTGGGGAGCGGCATGAGCTTCCGCTGTCAGCCCTAGCTTCTGCCAACCTAGCAGTTCGAAAACATGCAAATGTGAGTAGATCAATAGGTACCGCTCCGGCGGGAAGGTAACGGCGCTCCATGCAGTCATGCCGGCCACATGACCTTGGAGGTGTCTATAGACAATGCTGGCTCTTTGGCTTAGAAATGGAGATGAGCACCACACCCCAGAGTCAGACATGACTGGACTTAATGTCAGGGGACTACCTTTACCTTTTTATGGTCATCATCCAGCAGAAGTCAACTACAGAGTTAAGCTGGAAAACCTGGAAATTTCTAGTTGTCATTTGGAAGCTGAGCATAGAATCACATTGCAGAACAAGAAACAATCAGGGCCAGCTAATCACCCCCAACAAAAGATTCCCCCAGGCAGTAAGAAGCCAGACCTTAAAACTGCTGGGCCATTAAATGCTAATCAAGGTGGTCAATTGAAACATTCACACCTACCTTGAACATACAGGAATTCTTTCTCCCACCCTGGACATTCCACAGATATATAAACCCTATCTTCCTCATCAGACCTCACAACCTCTGAGGATGCCTGCCATAGGTGCTGGTGGAACGCCAGGAGCTAATTTTTCTGGAACATGACCATACAGCTCGTAAAACTCACAAAATATAGCAGAACCTTGGGATTCCTAGGGCATGTCCAGACAGCCTCATAATCTGGGACAAATAACTGGGGCAAAAAAATTGTAGTGCCTGACAGCAAGTCCAAACATGGAGCTGTCAGTCTTGGTCAATATTCCTCTGGCATCCTGACATGCTTGTTTGTAGAGGATTTTAGAAAACCGCAAGATGGACCTGCTAGAAGTTTACTTTTACTTTTTTTTAATTGATACTCTGAGATGTGCTGGACCTCATAAGTGCTTATGCAGATATCTGAATGTGCACGCAAGCAGATTTCTTATAATTATCTCTCTGTGGCAGCAAAAAAAGCCAATGGGATTTTGGCCTGCATCAATAGGAGCATAGTGTCTAGATCTAGGGAAGTAATGCTACTCCTCTATTCTGCTTTGGTTAGACCACACCTGGAATATTTGTGTCCAATTCTGGGCACCACAATTGAAGAGAGATATTGACAAGCTGGAATGTGTCCAGAGGAGGCGACTAAAATGATAAAAGGTCTGGAGAACAAGCCCTATGAGGAGCGGCTTAAGGAGCTGGGCATGTTTAGCCTGAAGAAGAGAAGGCTGAGAGGGGATATGATAGCCATGTTTAAATATGTGAGAGGAAGCCACAGGGAGGAGGGAGCAAGCTTGTTTTCTGCTTCCCTGGAGACTAGGACGCAATGGAACAATGGCTTCAAACTACAAGAGAGGAGATTCCACCTGAACATGAGGAAGAACTTCATGACTGTGAGAGCCGTTCAGCAGTGGAACTCTCTGCCCCGGAGTGTGGTGGAGGCTCCTTCTTTGGAAGCTTTTAAACAGAGGCTGGATGGCCATCTGTCAGGGGTGATTTGAATGCAATATTCCTGCTTCTTGGCAGAATGGGGTTGGACTGGATGGCCCATGAGGTCTCTTCCAACTCTTTGATTCTATGATTCTATGATTCTCCTTACCCTCCTGTTGCCTTTACTTTTTCCTTCTTGAACCCCGTTTCCCTTTGGGATCACTTCCCTGTCATGCTGGTGCCCACTGTATAAATTCAAGTTCTGTTTAATTCAATAAAGTTCAGAACGAAGGAATGGTTGCAGAGAGTTCTCATGGGAATTGCTTTCCAATTGTGCTTCCATTTAGCCACCTGTGTGTCCATGGCTCCATTTGTTTACAGCCTTCATCAGCTGTTTTGGAATTTTAAAAACACGCACATGTGCTGGAGCAGTCCACACAAGTGTATAGAGATAGTCAAGCGTTTTCCTTGCATGCAAAGATATGCAGTAATGTGAATATGTACATTTTTGACCACATTTGGGTTTTTAGTGCACCTTTTTAACACATGTTTTTTGTCTGTTAATGCTATCCAGTGCACATTTTCAGCAAACATTTAGCCACCCTAGCTTTTATCCCAGTTTCTTCTTCATTTTAGGGCCTGTGTAGAAAGTGGTTCCCAATCTTTTTTTGACCAAGGACCACTTGACCAGGGATCCCTTTGACAAGGGAGCACTCTCCAACATTAGTACCAAAAGGGTTACAAGTCAGTTTTTGGTCAACTTTAGATTTGGTTTGGTTATTTGGGGTGCTGATTCAGAAAATTGCACTGGACAGACCACATCAGCTCTAGTTTCTGATACAGAACATATGCCATCCAGTAGTCACCATCTGCTCTCCCACAGAAACCATATTTAATAAGCCTTGGCACTATAAGAGGGTTTCGCAAGATCAGTTGCTCTTGTTGCAATGGTGTAGAAGCAGTGAGGCTGCGGACCATATTTTAGTTCTGGTGGTCCATGGACCACAGGTTGGGAACCAATGCCTTAGACAGATGTCTCCTTTCAGAATTTTGAGATCTTCCAGCATAGACTTACACTAGAGAATCTAGAAATGTCTAGCGACAACATCAAATATACAAATAATCAAATCTGCAAAACTCAAAATCACAAAATGTGGAGGGACAGAATTACTTGACCAAATAATAAGTTGAGTCAGGTTTTGGGGATTGCTTTACGACTAAAATTTCTAGGATTACACATGAATCATAGAATCACAGAGTTGGAAGAGACCTCATGGGCCATCCAGTCCAACGCCCTGCCAAGAAGCAGGAATATTGCATTCAAAGCACCACTGACAGATGGCCATCCAGCCTCTGTTTAAAAGCTTCCAAAGAGGGAGCCTCCACCACACTCTGGGGCCGAGAGTTCCACTGCTGAATGACTCTCACAGTCAGGAAGTTCCTCCTCATGTTCAGATGGAATCTCCTTTCTTGTAGTTTGAAGCCATTGCTTCGCGTCCTAGTCTCCAAGGAAGCAGAAAACAAGCATGCTTCCTCCTTCCTGTGACTTCCTCTCACATATTTATACATGGATATCATGTCTCCTCTCAGCCTTCTCTTCTTCAGGCCAAATATGTCCAGCTCTTTAAGTTGCTCCTCATAGGGTTTGTTCTCCAGACCCTTGATAATTTTAGTCGCCCTCCTCTGGACACATTCCAGCTTGTCAATATCTCTCTTCAATTGTGGTGCCCAGAATTGGACACAATATTCCAAATGTGGTCTAACCAAGGCGGAATAGAGCATGGGTAGCATGACTTCCCTAAATCTAGACACTATGCTCCTATTGATGCAGGCCAAAATCCCATTGGTTTTTTTGCCGCCACATCACATTGTTGGCTCATGTTTAACTTGTTGTCCACGAGGACTCCAAGATCTTTTTCACACGTACTGCTCTCGAGCCAGGCGTCCCCCCAAAAAAAGACAGGTACTGTACATGAGAATGTACAGTACCTGTTCTTTTTTGTGTGTGTCAGGAGCAACTTGAGAAACTGCAAGTCGCTTCTGGTGTGAGAGAATTGGCTGTCTGCAAGGACATTACCCAGGGATGCCTGGATGTTTTTGATGTTTTACTACCCATGCGGGAGGCTTCTCTCATGTCCCCACGTGGGGAGCTGGAGCTCACAGAGGGATTTGAACCTGCGACCTGTTGGTCTTCAGTCCTGCCAGCACAAGGGTTTAACCCACTGCGCTACTGGGGGCTCCAGTACCTGTCCTGAGGAAATATGACCAGGTTCTTTTCCAAACCCCTTGAAACTTTGCTCTATAACCGCCTGCCCAATATTACTTTGAAATATTTGGTATGAAGGGTTAAATAGAACCTATAGGGATCCCTTGAGGCCACATGTGGGGTTTTTCACCCACTGAAAAGGCTCAACTTGGAATGAGGGCACAGGCATTGGGTTACAGTCAAGTCACACAGTCTTTCCATCTGCAGCTGTCTTTATTTAGAGACTTCTGTTGCCCTTCAGCTCACAAGCTCCCAAGGCAGCTTTCAAAGTCATAAAACCAACTCCAACAATGATAACAATTGGTCGGGTTTTACGACAAACAAGCGATAACAAAGTGCTTCAATTTTCAGCCCGTCATAAAACATGTGTCATATGAGAGGCATGAGTCTGTATTCAATACAGAAAATTTCAAAATACTTTAAAATTGAAATTCATCCCTTTTTCACAGAATGCCAACCAGTTTTACTCCTTAGAAGCCCGGTTGAACATCATCCTGCTTGGCCCTACATACACATTTCAAGAACATTTAAAATATTATTTTGTAAAATATTATTTTAAAATTGTTTAAGATCCAACTGTCCCTCCATATTTGCAGATTTAACTTTTGGGGATTTGGTTACGTGATAATTGGATTCATATGTCCTCCCTAGGAATCTCTAGGTTCTCCAGTTTGACCTTGTGGTCAACTTCCAGTGTTACATCAGCATGCAAAAGGGATTCATTTGATGAAGGAGACTTAAGTCCACCAAAGCTTATGTTACCG